CTAGAACAAGCTAAGGCTCAATAAATAAGCGTGTATCACCATTTTAAAGTTTTAAAAATAAAAAAAGTTATAACGATTTTTGTGAAAAAAGTTATTTTTAAAACGGTTTTTTTTTCAACATTTTTTTTGCATATGTAAAATTAAATTTCTTATATATAATAGACATGCTCTTGTAAAAAAGGGTTAAAACTTATCTCAGTATTTTTTTTTTTTTTTGCATTTTACAATAATTTATTGCAGTGCAAAGGTGCGGGGGTGGATTTCACCCAGAATGACTATTACGTCATTTTTCGGAAGTGTGACTGAAGAGGGTTAACATATTGTTGGCAATTACCGGCAGTATACCGTTTCGGTATTGAAATTTGACATTTCTTTTACTAATTTTTGTATAGGTACAGTACAAAAAAATCCACCAGCAATGTACCATTTCAGTACTGGCATTCAACGCTCTCTTTTTGCCAATTCCAGTACGGGCACAGTACCTTGAATTTACCGGCAGTATACCGTTTCGGTACTGTAATTTGACATTTTCTTTTACTAATTTTTGTACAGGTACAGTACCGTAAATTTACCGGCAGTATACCATTTCAGTACCATTATTCAATACTGATTTAGATAATGAGTTAGTACTAAACCATTGTTATTTTAATACTGGTTTTGTACTATGCCAGTACCGAAATGTAAGACGCGTTTTTCGGTACTGGATCTGTATCTCGTCAGTATCTAATACTAGTCCGATGTATGAAATTCCCACATGGGTATTTAAATGAAATAAAACTATTTTAATAGCTTATGTGCAAAAACAACTATATCCAAAAATATTAAAAAATTAAATATTGGTACCTTTAGATTCTTTAGCTCCCTTGATTATGAATTGAACGTTTTAAAAATAAAAGCAATTACGAATCAATCGGCTTTAAAATCAAAAGAGAAAAGTGAGTCAAGTTGCAAAAGTAGCTACATCCTTTTTTGTATAAGGGATTATTTTGATCAATAATTTATTTTTAAAAATTAGACTCAAAGTAAAAGATAAAAAGACATTTTCTACTTTCAAGATGTGATTAGATGTAAGATGATGAGTATCAACAAGCTACAGAAATTTGAAAAAAATCATATAAAAATTCTTTATCATAAAAATTATGACTAGCCTTGGTTTACTAACTTTTTAATTTTATTAATTATTTTTTTATGACTTATTTTGCCAATTTGTTTTGCCAATTTTTCTTCCGTGTTTAGTATTTTATTTTTATTTAAATTTGGCATAAAGATAAAAGAGAAAAAGACATTGTACTTTCCAATAAATAAATATGATTTATAATATAGTATGTAAATTTTTCTGATATTATTACGGTAATACGGTAAAAACGCTTCAAAATTATAAAAATTCTGTTTAATTTAATAACCCACTCTAAAACTTTAACTATTTTTGCATCTGTGCAGAAAATAAAAATGACGAACACTTTAGTTCCAAAATCAGCTAACTCCTTTGTTCAGCTACAAAACCAGTCAATTAAATTGTATTTTTATAAATAGAAATTGTATTTCTCATACCATACTATACACGTTTTGTTAATTAAAATTAATTTTTCTTAATTTTTCAAAGATCTTATTGATAGCTTGAATGAGAAAAATTATACAAGTTTTTTTCGCTCCCACTCAAAAAAATTTCAAGTGGATTTAATGACTTTTGCCAATGAGCTATTCATATGCTCTTTGAAAATTATTATTTTATCGTATTTTACGCAACAGTTAATATTTTGCATGTAACATTTAATATTTTATATTTAATTAAAGACTATTCCAATTATTTAGATTCAATTATTTACAAAATTGATTAAACATTTAATGAAAAAATCTCTTAATTTTTATTAATATAATAATAATCGGAATGAAAGAGAAGAGAAAGAAACAAGAATAGATATATAAAAGCAACTTTATCATAGCAAAAGCAAATAATTGGTCTTATATTACTCAAAGTTTAAATAGTTATACTTATAACTATGATTTAGACTTTTATTAGTTTTATTATCATTAAATTCATTTATTATTTTAAATCAATTTTAAATTAATTTTATTATTGTTAAATTAACTTAAATCTGAGAAATTTTTGTATTTATTTTATACATATATATGTATATTACCATAGAAGAATACACAATTAATGTTATAATACTAAATCACTTTTTGTTTTAAGTTTTTAAATTTTTAAAATAGTTGTAACTTTTTCTTTTTTGTATGTGAAAGATACGTAAAAATCTGTTATTATTATTCTACAATTCGCTATGCATTTTGTTTCTATTCAAGATATTATATATGTATTTTATCATTTTCTGGAAAAATTAAAAAAGATAAATAATACATTCAGAGAAAACGGGAAAAATACATCGAGCAACTTATTATTTAACAATTATATTATTTGTTCAGTTTTTTACATTCGTATATTTGTATGTGTTATTTGTTATTTGTATTGTTTTTTATTAATTATCAATTACTTACTGTTATTTAATTAACATATTGTTGGCACTCATAATTATTTTATTATACTATATTTTCTCTTTAAGTCTACATAAATGATCTACATAAACGGTCATGTGAAACTATTTGAATAAGTTATACCACTAAATTTCAATTCACGAGTTCTAGTCAGTTTCTATTATACAGATTACTCCTTGGAATCTCTTTGAATAAAAGATAGTAATGAATACGCGGTCAATACGGAAAATTGTAATAACGTGAGCTTCATTTCTTTGCTATTAGGAATATGAAAAACTCTAACGCGACTATTCGCATATTAAAGAATGTGATCAGTCTACTTATTTGTAATCACATACATGCATATGCACCGTACATAAAATAGTCAATCAATTTGGAGTTTCGCGAATCACACGTTTGCACCATTACCTATTAACAGTTTACCTATTTCGAATGTACTCGTGATACGAGAGTGAACGCGTAAAACGATTCGGAGCCTAATGAAGCAACGATTAATTACGAGCGTGACTCAAGAAACTGAAGGGAAAAAAACGGTACCACACGGGTCTAATTATTTACTTGGAGGTGATAAGAATAGAGAACGGTGCCGAGACGTTAGCACACATTGTGTGCTGATGTGCTATTTACATTCCGTTATCTCCGTTATTATGTCGGATTATACAGTCCCTTGAGATTCTGCAACCGGAACCATTCATTAG